AAGACCAAGCAAACCCACTCTCCTGCACAAAACGATGAGCTTGGCTTTGGACGGTCTTATTCTCCTCACGGGCTGGGCGCACGTTCTTCTTGCACCATATACCAAGGTCGAAGAAAGCTTCAATCTTCATGCTGTGCACGATGTCCTCATGTACGGCGTCTCGCCGTCCGCGCTTCAAAATGTTCGCTTCTGATGTAATATTCCTGTACTATTCCGTCAACTGAATAATATGTTAGTAGTACGACCATTTCGTTTTTCCAGGCGCTGTTCCCCGCACATTCGTAGGGAGTGTTCTACTCGCGTGGATATCCACCCCTGTCATTTATCTGGCAAATTACCTTGGCCTTGTTCCCTCTAAATTTGAGCTCCAAGTCGTCGGTTTGTCTGTTCCATCCGCTTGCTGCCTGCTTAGGCTCATTTTTCACCAGTGCGACTCGTGCTAACGACTATAAATGCCCTCGGACTCTGTCTCATCCGATATGCCATCTCCAGACGCTTTGGGCGCCCTACAGGCCTGTATTACACCCTTCTCACCTGTTCGCAGTTCCATGTTCCTTTCTGGATGGGGCGCACGCTACCCAATATGTTTGCCTTACTTCCTGGTTTGTCCTTCAAACTGTGCGCCTGCATGCCATTAACAGCTGAGCAGTGAATCTATCGACCTTCTTGTTGATCGATCGTGACCCCAATGTGCTACGGCCTTCGCAGAGAAGTGTTAGCGCATCCATTGCTCTCCTAGCCTTCGCGGCAGTCGTGTTCCGTGCTGAACTGGCCGCTCTTGCTGCAGCCCTTGCAGTACAATCTTTGTTCATGAAACACATTTCGTTCTGGCGCATATGCACAGTCGGCGCAATCTCTACTCTCGCATCAATCGGTATGTATCCTCTGATACATCTACTTTTCCAGCACAACTGACGGTTACGGTCGATCAGCCTTGACAGTGTCCATAGACTCATACTTCTGGGGCCAGCCGTACTTGTGGCCCGAATGGCAGAGCATTTACTTCAATGTCGTCGAAGGGAAGAGCGCCGAATGGGGTGTAAGCTTACAATCTCTTTCTTATTGGTCCGTTTTTGACCCATCACCAACGTCATAGACATCGCCAGCGCACGCATACTTCACGTCCCACCTCCCCAAGCTTCTGCTCTCCGCCCTCCCGCTCTCCTTTTTCGCAGCATTCTCTTCTGCCCCTCGCCGCTTGCTTCCCTTGGTCTTTCCAGGTCTCGTGCTCGTCGGCGCAATGAGCGCCATCGGCCACAAAGAATGGCGCTTCGTCGTCTACGTCGTCCCGATGTGGAATGCCATTGCCGCACGCGGAATGAGTGCTATGTACGTTGCCTACATATCTATGCACTGCTGGCAACAGCTGAATCTCATCCATTCCAGGGTTTCCCAGCGAAAGTCCTCTCTCCGCGGGCGTGTGCTGTCCCTAGGCGCTGCCGGGGCGCTCTTCGCCAACCTCGGCGCGTCGTTGCTGTTCACCCGCGCCGCCATCGGCAACTACCCCGGAGGGGCGGCGATGGGGATACTCAATGCCAAGCCGACCACAGGTACGATATCCGGGTTACCTTGCCACTATCCATGACGCTAACATGTACATATTAGGTACACCTGTGCACGTCCACATTTGCAACCTGGCGCTGCAAAGCGGGGCGTCGCTCTTCACGCACGTGCACGCACCGCCCTACCCGTCCTTCGCCGTGCCATCCCTCCTGAACGTGTCCGCGTCGGAGGCGTGGGTGTACGACAAGACGGACGACCCAGCGTCATTTGCGGAGTACACGCACCTCATCACGGAGTTTCCCGAGGTCTCCGCCTCTGAATCGCGAAGCGAGCGAGGCGCGATCCGCCCAGCGAGTATATTGCCGGGTGGATGCGTCCAGCAGAGTGTGATCATAGGGGCGGGGTGGACGGAGCTAGGGAGCGTACCGGCGTTTGAGCACTGGGTTGTTGACCTGGAGCTGCTAAAGACCGGGAAGGAAGGCGCTGGGATGCTCGATCGCGCGCGGGGGCTGTTGCGCTATGAAGAGCGGACGCGGCTGTGGGTGCTCGAGCGGACCGCCAAGTAAGGGAGGGTGTAAGATCAGAGCAGGGAGCGTAACCACGGGTCCACGACATTCCAAACATCACGTCGACTGCTCTCTCGCGTTTAACCAACAACCACCATTTTCTATTGCGGCCACCTATACGATGTAGCCCTCTCGCTGCGACATCGATGGTATTCAAACGAAGCACCTCCTAACACATACTCAACATCAACTCTCAAAACAACCCCCGAACGATCTACTCAATACCGCATCTCAAATAGCCCGATTCGACGTCAACGACCCAAGTGTCAGCTATCATTCTAAGCGTCAATTCTCAACTAACATCTATTCAATACCACCGCATCTCAAATAGCCCGATTGGACGTTTCTATGCGTCGATTCTCAACGACTATAATCACTACTTGCCCCCTCGCATAGTTGACGTCGGTTATGCTAGTGACGACAACAACGACCAGGTCTACGCAGCCACGCACACGAACGGACATCATCTCATCCACACAACAAGCACTACGACAACGACACAACCAACCAGTCAAACAAAGTAACTAACATCACGAGCTGGACGCTACTACTCGACGAACGGCTCTACATAGTTCCTTTTCATTCAACAACCCCGCCGGCTATTCACCTCCTCCTTATCAATCGTCTTCGAACGAGGGATCTACTGATCTTAGTTGTCCGTGCGTCAGCTGTACAATCCACTCATCAACGACGACACAACTATCCAGTGTGATAACTATCCAATGCGTTGCTTTTACCTTTGATACTATCTGCATAGTTCTCATGTCTATGTAACGTCAAGTACGTGGTGTCTCGGGCAAGCACTCCGCGACCTACGAACTTGCTCGGTCAAGATAATTTATAGTGTATGTTTTTCAGCGTCTCGAGCATGACCAAATATTTATTTTCTTGAGAATCACACCAGCACCAAGTGTAAGCATTCACAGTCGAAGCTGGGAGGTAAAATATGTGGGTTACTGTAATCATGGGTTACCAAAATGTGTAGGCCATAGGAGATTATGGTTATAAGAGCTCTTAAGAGCCTATGGTTACGAGACTCAGAGCTTAGAACTTGAGAACACCATCTAGACAAAATCACAAAAAAAATTGGTTCGCAAGAAGCACTCATAATTGTGGCGTAGAATACCTTGGATAGTGTTCAATGTGTTATTCTTGACGCCTAAATGATGCAGCGTGACGCCAGTTGGAGCCAGGCATGTCTGGGACTTAGAAAAAAAAATTGCTGCGCAGAAAAAGAGCAAAAAATAATCCGACTTGCCTGGCTCGAACAGGCGACATGCTCCCCTGGTGGTACAACCCGCTTTGACCGTGACGCCTAGTACTGTCACATCCAAAAATTCTCAAGTCCGCCAGTTGGAGCCAGGCAGGTTTGGGACTTTTTTAAAAAACTACTGCTGCGCAGAAAAAGAGCAAAAAATAATCCGACTTGCCTGGCTCGAACAGGCGACATGCTCCCCCGGCGGTACAACCCGCTTTGACCGTGACGCTTAGTACTGTCACATCCAAAAATTCTGCAAGTCCGCCAGTTGGAGCCAGGCAGGTTTGGGACTTTTCTTTAAAAACTAGTGCTGCGCAGAAAAAGAGCAAAAAAGAATCCGACTTGCCTGGCTCGAACAGGCGACATGCTCCCCCGGCGGTCCAACCCGCTTTGACCGCGACGCTTAGTACTGTCACATCCACATCCTTGCCTACAACGACCTGCTTGCCAACAGCCTACTACCGGCCACCTAACGTCCATTCCATTCCTAACGCTGTGTCTTCCAGTGCCCGCGTTCATGACCAGCATTGTCTGCCAATCGAACGGCGTAACCTGACGACTACCACGGGTCCACGACATTCCAAACATCACGTCGACTGCTCTCTCGCGTTTAACCAACAACCACCATTTTCTATACGATGTAGCCCTCTCGCAGCGACATCGATGGTATTCAAACGAAACACCTCCTAGTACATACTCAACATTAACTCTCAAAACAACCCCCGAACGATCTATTCAATACCGCATCTCAAATAGCCCGATTGGACGTTTCTATGCGTCGATTCTCAACGACTGCAATCGTTACTGGCCCTCTCGCATAGTCGATGTCGGTTATGCCAGTAATGACAACAGCGACCAGGTCTACGCAGCCACGCACACGAACGGACATCATCTCATCCACACAACAAGCACTACGACAACGACACAACCAACCAGTCAAACAAAGTAACTAACATCACTAGCTGGATGCTACTACTCGACGAACGGCTCTACATAGTTCCTTTTCATTCAACAGCCCCGCCGGCTATTCGTCTCCTCATCAATCGTGCACTTCGAACGAGAGATCTACTGCTCTTAGTTGTCCGTGCGTCAGCCGTACAATCCATTCATGAACGACGATACAACTATCCAGTGTGATAACTATCCAATGCGTTGCTTTTACCTTCGATACTATCTGCATAGTTCTCATGTCTATGTAACGTCAAGTACGTGGTGTCTCGAGCAAGCACTCCGCGACCTACGAACTTGCTTAGTCAAGATAATTTATAGTGTATGTTTTTCAGCGTCTCGACCATGACCAAATATTTATTTTCTTGAGAATCACACCAGCACCAAGTGCATTCACAGTCGAAGCTGGGAGGTAAAACATGTGGGTTACTGTAATCATGGGTTACCAAAATGTGTAGGCCATAGGAGATTATGGTTATAAGAGCTCTTAAGAGCCTATGGTTACGAGACTCAGAGCTTAGAACTTGAGAACACCATCTAGACAAAAATCACAAAAATTCTTTCGCTCGCAAGAAGCACTCATAATTGTGGCATAAAAGACCTTGGATAGTGTTCAATGTGTTATTCTTGACGCCTAAATGATGCAGCGTGACGCCAGTTGGAGCCAGGCATGTCTGGGACTTAGAAAAAAAAATTGCTGCCGCGCGGAAAAAGAGCAAAAGGAATCCGACTTGCCTGGCTCGAACAGGCGACATTGAGATTACGTAATCAGGTATCCAGTTACAGTCTCACGCTCTTCCAACTGAGCTAAAGTCGGCTTGAAAGGCAGCTTCATCTACCGATCATATCCATCCCATCTTACCGTATTCCCGAGGCTCCGCGTCTAGGCCAACCACCTTGCAACCACCCCTATACCAGATTCGGGACACGTCCTTTCGACGCACCACAGCGCCTGTAAACGCCGCTCCATCCGGCACCCGATATTGTGCCCGGCCGATTCAAGATGGACACACCTGTAGCTGGACGCCTGCAAAAGTCTCCGCTTTCTGGTTCGACATAGACCTACTGCTTAGACCCACTCATTGGCACCTGGACCCAAACTTCTGCAGCAGATGTTCCTAATGAGTTTTTAAACAATATAAGTCATCTCATTGTTGTAAGGCAAGGGAGCTTTAACACAAAAATGAGCAGGAGCCTAAAAGGGCAACTTTGATTAGTCTTTGAAACCCAGGGTCCGTGAATTGGCGAGTAGAAGATTAGTAGGAGAGGCATATTTTTCTGAGGGTTTGAAAGGCCAATAAATTGGTTACATAGGGCATTTTATGTAGACAGAAGATAGAACTTCGAGGGAAAAAAAAAACAGGGAAAAGTGCAAGAGTCAAGAAGGAAATCGGAATAAGGTAAATTTTGGAAAAAGGAGCATCTTTCTTCCTTTTTACCAAAATGCTCCTTCTTCTCTTCCTATTCAGTTAAGTAGGAGACAAGTAGGAAAGCAAGTAGGAGCCTGAGTAGGATCCAAGTAGGAGCAACTTTGAACGACACTATTCCCCGCCGCAGACTGCCGACGGACATTCTTCCACCCGTCTGTTCGTCGACCCATCCCATGAAGACGCCCCCCACGGTTGTTGCCATACTATGTATTTGAAGTAGCTTGCGCCGCTAATAATCGGAATTCTCTCAACCTTAGACCCCAAGTGAAAAAAATTCAATACTACTTATGAGTGCCATGAATTTAGAACAAAAATTAGATGTAGTATAAATCCGCAATGAAAAATGAAGCAATTGAGTAGAGTGTTGAGTAAGGAAATCGTCAGGGTCGTTATATGAATTCATAAAAAGGTCAAATAGCCGTTCACATCACCACACACCACTTGCCCTTCTTTTCTTCACTCTCCCTTGTTTCAGCGGCCGGCGGTGCGGTCGGTGGTGCGGTTGGCGATGCGGTGGGTGGAGGAATCGAAGGAATTTTCGGAGATTTGGGCTGGGAGAACTCCCCTTGAGCAACATCGAAAGATGCTCGTCCTTCGGGTACTTTCGAAAACCATCCTCCGGGGAAAAACATCGAAGAGGCTGTGGATTCGAGCCTCGAGCGAGGAGAGAGAGGTGGATCCAGGACACTTTCGTCATTGGGCGTGGATCTATGGGATTTATCAACTTTCGGTTGAACGTATAAGAAACGGGACTTACCCGGAAACATCCAGCATCAGAGGAAACGCTGTAGGAGTTTCACTTGTGGGCGGAGTTGAGATTTCTGCGTCGGCTTCTGGAGCAACTGCGGGAGGCGAATTAATGTGCTCGACAGGCGCAGGAACCGAATCTTGAGAGTGCGAAACTACTCCGTGCGGCTCCACGGTTTCGGAAGACACCAAGGGTTCTGTCACCTCGAGGGGAGGTTCTACAGACAGTTCCAGAGGAGTATCATGGAACTGATCAGCGGTAGATGGTGCCAACTGCGTTGTAGCGATACCGTTGGTGTCCTGTTCCACAGCTATATTGACCGTTTCGGTACCATTGGCACGAGCGGCAGCAGCATCATCGACAGTCTGCTCGAGCACTGGCACTGCTTCTTTCTCCATGTGGGGTACATCTTGAAGTACAATGACTGGTATACCAGGCGAGTCGGCGGGAGTCGCAGTGGCGGCTGCCGCGGGTGCATCTACGGCAGAGGACGTCTCCCCAGTGATGACATCTTTCGGCGCCTGTGCTGGGACAGACTCGGCTGCCAGATCCGCCGAAAGGTCTCCAGAGTCGGCGACTCCCTGTAGGGTATCTTGAAGTGCAAGGGTGGTAGCCTTTTGTTCTAGCACCGGTTCGAGTTCGGCCGAGGCATCGCCGGATGCTGAGTCGACTGGGACCGCTGCCAGGACGGCTGGGTCAGCGTGAATAGGCTCGAATTCTCCATGCGCAGGGACGGTTGATGCAAAAGTAGCGGTGGAATCGAGCGATTCGTCGATAACAACGTCAGAAGTAGCTTCGCCATGCGACGATTCTTCCGTAGGTGCGATTGGTGCAGCCTCTGCTACTGATTCCGCAATAAAATCGGAAATATCCTCCACAGAGGACGTCGGTGGCTCTGCGATATTTTCGATTTCACGTGTCGCGGAAAACTCAGCAGATGCATCGTGCACAACGGGGGTATCTTCTTTGTCGACGTCTGCTGTCAACTGAGCAGAAGTCGGAAGCGGACTTCCTTGAACAGATACAGAATACGAAGGGGTCCAAGGAGAGCTGGCTCTGGGTGGCTCGAGGGATGCATCGAGAGATGCAGAGTCCGGGATCGGCTGCCAAATGATGAAATGAGAAGCGAGTCATCGAAAGTCTGAGTTGACTTGCCTCGTCCATATGATCGTGCTCTTCAAACATTTCGTGGTCAGATACAGGTACAGAAGCGTCCTCCGCCAACTGTGCAGAAGTCGGAAGCGGACTTCCTTGAACAGATACAGAATACGAGCGAGTCCAAGGAGAGCTGGCTCTGGGTGGCTCGAGGGATGCATCGAGAGAAGTAGAGTCTGCAATCGGCTGCCAAATCATAAAATGAGGAGCTAGTCATCAGAAGTCAGAGTGGACTTGCCTCGTCGAAATGATTTTGCTCTTCAAACACCTCGCGGTCAGATACATCCTCCGCTCCGGCCTCCGACGGTCGACCTTGGTTCGTTACTGAATATGACGAAGTCCAAGGAGATATGGGCCGCTCAGGCGCAGAGTAGCCAGTGGCCAGTGATGTCTGACAGGAAGTGAGCGCTTGAAACTCTGTCAAAAAAGAACGGGAATGGTTACCTGAATCGTTGACGGTTCACTCGAAGTCGACCTGTCGGTTTCGACGACATCTTCCCGCGTGGGCAATCCTTCGGGTTCATCCCCTGCTGCTGCAGCTTTTTTCTGTTTCAACGGCAAATGGTTAGCTTATGTAATACACCAAATGAGCTCCTTACAGGTTCGACGTCCGGAACTGCGGTTGACCATGGAAGGTCCTCAACATCGTCCTCGTTGGGGTGGTCTTCGAAAGACTCTGGAATGGCTCCTAACAGGGCATCGGGATTGGCGTCGGCTTGCTCTGGTTGGTCGGCAAGGACTCCGGACTCGATTAAAGCGGCCACAACAGCATCGCTACTAGGATCAGGGCTATCGTCTTGGGCGTCGGGATCATGAAGAGTTGACGGATCGACGATAACCCCAGACTCGATTGCTGCTTTGTGGTGGTCATCAGACACGGGAGGATCTGTATTGTATTGTCAATTCTTCGCCCCTCATTTCTGAATGCAGTCGGCTCACTTATGCCCAGCGCAATTGGCGTGGTATCTACTTCCGACAACTGGAGCTCCGCTTCCACGACCGGAACAGCCGGAAGATCCACGAGTGCATCGTGCGGGCCCGAATCCTCACGCAGTGGCTCCAAGTGCCCACCAATGACCTCTGCCGCTGGGTCAAAGCGCAAAGTCTCATCAGCAGTGTCAGCTGACGAAACCGTGGGAGCATGTTCTGTTTCAATGTCGACAGCGACGGGCGCGTCATTAACTAGCATCACCTCAGGCCCCGATTGCTATGAAATAATTTAGTGTTACACTTAATGAAAAGTTGCGCACGTACCGCGACCTCAATCGCTGGTTCCTCGACACGGGCGGAGTCGACGATCGGCGGGGTGTACTCTACCTCCTGGACGACAGGAGGAGAGGGGGTGGCCTCTCGTGGGACATCCTCGACCTCCTGGTCAATCACGGTGGCGGGTTCCGGTTGCTCAATAACTCGTTCCTCAACCTTTGACCCGAGATCCTCGATGATCGGCTCCTCGATGGGCACGGTGTGTTCTACTTCAGAGGCTACGGGAGGAGGAGGTGGGATGGGCTCTCGGGGGACATCCTCGACCTCTTGGTCAATCACAGCGGCGGGTTCCGGTTGCTCAATAACTCGTTCCTCAACCTTTGACCCGAGATCCTCGATGATCGGCTCCTCGATGGGCACGGTGTGTTCTACTTCAGAGGCTACGGGAGGAGGTGGGGTGGGCTTTCGGGGGACATCCTCGACCTCTTGGTCAATCACAGCGGCGAGTTCCGGTTGTTCAATAACTCGTTCCTCGACCTTTGACTCGAGATCCTCGATGGGCAGGGTCTGCTCTACCTCAGACGCTACGGGAGGAGGAGGTGGGGTGGGCTCTCGGGGGACAACCTCGAGCTCCTGGTCAATCACGGCGGCAGGATCCTGTTGTTCAGTAACTTGTTCCTCCACCGTTGGCTCGAGATCCTCGTGAACAGCTTCCTCAATGATTGGCTCCTCGATGGGCAGGCTGTGCTCTACCTCAGAGGCTACGGGAGGAGGTGGGGTGGGCTCTCGGGGGACAGCGTCGAGCCCCTGGTCAATCACGGCGGCAGGATCCTGTTGTTCAATAACTTGTTCCTCCACCGTTGGCTCGAGATCCTCGTGAACAGCTTCCTCAATGATTGGCTCCTCGATGGGCAGGCTGTGCTCTACCTCAGAGGCTACGGGAGGAGGTGGGGTGGGCTCTCGGGGGACAGCGTCGAGCCCCTGGTCAATCACGGCGGCAGGATCCTGTTGTTCAATAACTTGTTCCTCCACCGTTGGCTCGAGATCCTCGTGAACAGCTTCCTCAATGATCGACTCCTCAATGGGCAGGGTGTGCTCTACCTCAGACGCTACGGGAGGAGGAGGTGGGGTGGGCTCTCGGGGGACAGCCTCGAACTCCTGGTCAATCACGGCGGCAGGATCCTGTTGTTCAATAGCTTGTTCCTCCACCGTTGGCTCGAGATCCTCGTGAACAACTTCCTCAATGATCGACTCCTCAATGGGCAGGGTGTGCTCTAC